TGATTTAGCAGTCGAAAGCACAGAAAACTAGTTAAAAATTCACCGAGCGAATCAATGAAAGCATCGATTCAGACTCGGAGGGAACGCGTATAACTCGGCTTTATTTTCAGGTGTACACAAAAATACTGTTGATATGACAAAAATTTACAACGCAAATATAAAACATGTGCGCAATAGTCAATCGTACGTAATCGTGCGCAGTAATTATACTCTATTTTAATGTATTCATTGCGTAAGTTTTACTGCGCATGTTTATAACTTTTCCTCATAGACTGCGCATGAATCTTAAGTATCATCAATAAAGTCTTCACATATATGTATAATAATTAGAAGCTATTCTAATTATGGTTATTTTAATAGATCTCAAAATAACCATTTAGTACCATGTAGTATAATAACACTTACTATTTGTATACTTAATATTTTATGGCACACCTACGTTACCATAACCTCAAAAACAATTTCACCTAACAAGCTCGCGTTCACGTCCAAATTAAACGATTAGAAGAACGAGAAGGTAGGAAACAGGACAACTTGCAGAAACCGTAGAATAAGACAAAGAAGAGGAGCAGTTGCCAGAACAGAAAAGAACAGCTGAAAAAGAGAAGAAAAGACAGAGCGCGTACACGCGCGGCGTGTGGTCCGCTGCACGGTTGCCTCTAATCTTACCAACCGCCAACAGTATAGCCAACCTGACGTTTTCTCCGTGGAACAACAGGTCCTTCTATTGATTTAGATGTTCTCCCCGATCTAAAGTGGTAGTCGGACGAAACTGTCAGGAATAATGGTAATAACTGTCTACAGATCTAGACAGTAATCGTTCACGTGGTTTCAGGCGATTAACCCTTTGCAATTCAGTTTCATTGTATTGTGTACCGCGTTTATCGATGATTGCGCGCGCTATTGAGGATCCGGGTAATCGATTTATCAGTTTCCGAGATCTATTTTGAATAAACTATTATGGTCTCGGTGAGGTTAATTGTTTCGTGATTATAGATGTTGACCGAGAAACGAGGTACTTCTCTGGAGGTGAAACGACGATGGAGAAATAGGTAGATGCAGGTTTTTTGTTGGACAGTTTTGAGACTTACAGGTTTTCGAATTTAGTTTGTAGGCATTTTTGTTTAGAATTTTAGAAATTTGATGGGGTTAAGATTTCTTTAGTTTGGAGACTTAGGGATGGGGATATTTGAGAATACTGGATTTTTGAGGGTTTGGGATTTGGGAATTTGAGGAGTTAGAAATTAGGAAATTTGGGGATTTGGGAATTTAAGGATTCAGAAATTAGGAAATTTGGGGATTTGGAAATTTAAGGATTCAGAAATTAGGAAATTTGGGGATTTGGAAATTAGGGAATTTAGGGATTTGGAAACTTGGAGATGTGGAGATTTGAGAATTTGGGAATTTGGAGATTTAGAGTTTAAAGGAGCTGAAGATTTTGGGATTTGGCAAATTAGGGATTTGGTTAGTTGAAAATTTGGAAATGTGGAGATTTAGAGATTTTGGGATTTGGGAATGTGGACACATGAAGGTTTGGTAATTTGAGAAATTTAGAATTTGTACATTTGGGACTTCTCGAACTTGGACATTCATCAATTTAATAACTTAAATATTTTGAAACTCAAGAGTACACAAATTTAAGAATTCATAATTTATAATTTATTTAAAACTTGTAAAATACAGGACCACCAACAGAAAATGAAAAAATTTCCAATATTCATTTTTCGAGCAAATACATCAGCATCCACCAAAACGTTTCCCATTCCCCGTCCAAGCAATCTAAGGCTGGCGGGCGTTGATTGGGAAGCGTGAAGGCTTCGAGAAATGGTTAGGTGTTTTGCTCAAACCGTCACAAGGATTTACGGCCGGTCGAGCTCTTTAATCTCGAAGGAACCGCCGTACACTTCTCAGTCTTCGACTTCATGAATTCTAGCTGACGTTCGCGCAGCTGATATTGATTTAGACGTTCGTTCCCCTCATTTGATCATCTTGATCCAGGAATCGATGAACACACTAACCGTTCACATTAAAAAGTAAAAACAAACATCTTTACACGGATCCTTATTTTGGTACCTCTGTGGATACTGTTGTGAGAAATAGTAGCCACTTTTATGGGTGACTATATTAGAGACAAGTATTTTTATTGTAGATTTAACATTTTGATTATAGTCATTCAGTATGTAGACTATAGTCATTCATCCAAAGGCGTTCATGCTTCAAAGAAACACATGGTGACAGCAATTTTTAGAAAAACCCTAAGTTCAGCTCAATGTGATGAAATGATCCTATGAGACATGAACTTAAATTCTAAAATTTGCAAAAAATATAATTTCATTACTGTGGTTGACTATAAAGGCTCATTCTAAAATGACCACTCAACATGTGGACTATAGTCATTCATCAAAAGGTGTTCATGCTTCAAAGAGGCACATGGTGACAGCAATTTTTAGAAAAACCCTAAGTTCAGCTCAATGTGATGAAATGATCCTATGAGACATGAACTCAAATTCTAAAATTTGCAAAAAATATAATTTTATTACTGTGGTTGACTATAAATGCTCATTCTAAAATGACCATACAGTATGTGGACTATAGTCATTCATCAAAAGGCGTTCATGCTTCAAAGAGACAGATGGTGATAGCAATTTTTAGAAAAATCCTAAGTTCAGCTCAATGTGATGAAATGATCCTATGAGACATGAACTCAAATTCTAAAATTTGCAAAAAATATAATTTTATTACTGTGGTTGACTATAAATGCTCATTCTAAAATGACCATACAGTATGTGGACTATAGTCATTCATCAAAAGGCGTTCATGCTTCAAAGAGACAGATGGTGATAGCAATTTTTAGAAAAATCTTAAGTTCAGCTCAATGTGATGAAATGATCCTATGAGACATGAACTTAAATTCTAAAATTTGCAAAAAATATAATTTCATTACTGTGGTTGACTATAAAGGCTCATTCTAAAATGACCACTCAACATGTGGACTATAGTCATTCATTACAAAATGTCACAAAGACATGTAGCAAAAATAATTTTAAATATATCTGAAGTCTAATTTGATGATAAGGCCCTGTATGATTTTCCTGGAAGGTTAATTAAAATCTGAATATTCCCCAATGAGAGACTTCACCTGCTGATGGACTCCACTTGAAGTTCTGTAGACTCCAAGTACAGAAATAACGTACGTAACCTTTCGAAAAGGCGAAACGTATCGTCGTAAAATTAATTACGAAAAGCGGTCGCTTTCTTCTCGATGCGCACGCGAATTGGAAATTCCTCGGAGCGTACGGTGCTTGCGGGTCCCTTATCGAGCAGAGGAATCGGTAAGGTCCAAGAAGATCCGAGATGTTACGGAGCACGCTTCTTAATAGCGTCGAGAGAGAAAGAGAAGGGTCTCCCAGGCCCCAGCACGTGCTGCACGTCAGATACCGAAGATAGGAAGCGAGTCGTTCACGCCCACAGTTCACACGCCGGACTCGGCAACCCGCCATTAAGACCCTCCTGATTACAGCCGTGCCAGCCGAACCTATACTAAACTAAAACACCGGAGAAATTAGGGTCCGCCGCGAAGAAATTAAGTTCTTTGACATGTCCCGTCCCACCGGAGCTAAACGAAACTCTGCACGGACGTCCACGAGATGCTCCCTTTCGGTCACGACAGTACCGTTCCGGAAACTCCTTGTGAATGCAAGGATTGGATGTCGTGGTATTCACGGTGACGTGATGGTCTATTTCGAATTTGATTCTGAGCTGTTCTGTCGATTGCAAGAGTGATCTGTAGACTAGGTTGTCTTCTGGCGGATTGTTGTGATGATGGCAGAAACTGATGATGTCCAAATATCCACGCACTTATGGCACATCAAGGTTTGCGGAGAAGACATAACATGTTCTGTGACTGTATGTGAATGGTGGGTGGTGAGGTTAGGGTTTGAGACTTTCACAATTTGTTGCACAGAGGAAACAATGTCTTAAGAATATCAATGTTTATGAGCAGATATGTGGATCCACATGTAAGTCCAGGGTTCATCTGGATCATCATCCTTTGATCTAAATCACCAGCTAACTAATAACACCTTATCATTGGTCTGTAATGTGATCAGGGAAGCTTAATCTGAATATGAAACATACTTTGTACTGATTCAGGTCCAAGTTTCATCTGGACCATCATCCTTTGATCTAAATCTCCAGCTGACTACTAACACCTTGTCATTGTCATTGGTCTGCTATATGATCAGGAAAGCCTAATCTCAATATGAAACATACTTTATACTGATCTATCTAGTTGATATATTTTGTATTTATCTACCTATGTAGTTAGCTCTGTATTTATCTATGTACTTTTTGTATCCAGCTTCTCTTCACGAAATGAAAAATTCTCTTCATGTGAATGGTACTTCATGGGATTATGAATGGTACTTCATGACTCTATGAATGATTCTTCTTCATGAGACTACGAAGGCACTTCTTCATGGTACTATGAACATTACTTCTTCATGCGACTATAAATTATGCTTCTTGATGGCGGTATTAATGATACTTCTTCATGGCGCCATGTACAGATACTTCTTCATGGTACTATGTATACTTCTGCATGATATTATGTACATATATTTCTTCACGGTACTATAAATCATATTTCTTCATGCTACTACAAACGACACTTCATGGTAGGACGCACTGGGTGCGTCACGCAACTGTTACGAAGTCACATTGCAAACTTGGCAAATATAGGAAAATATGTTTCGTAAAATGTCGAATGCATATTTTGACTTCATGTTCTTCGTATACGCAACAATTCACTCAGAAAATATAAATACACATTCTTTTAAATAAAATTGCCTTTTATTAGGGATATGAATTTTTCAAAATATTTTACATAAAAAAGTATTAAGGTGTACAAAAAACATTTTGTATATCTCACATTTGTATGGTATTAATTATACAACTAGCAAGATCCATTATTTAATTAAATATTTAAATAAATCTCCACAATAGCCATTAACTTGTACCAAATAATTAGTTCACAATATCAAAAAACATTTCTATCACAATTTTCAAAATTGGTAAATAAAAACAATTACATTTTATGTCACAGGTGGCAGCAGCGGCGACGATTCGGACACAGAAAGCGAACCAGGCATCGCGTTGAAGAGAAAACAGCGAAGAAGCAGAACAACATTCACCGGTGAACAACTTGAACAACTGGAGGCCGCTTTTCATAGGACACAGTATCCCGACGTCTACACCAGAGAGGAATTAGCTCAAAAGTATGCAAAACTTCATTCCTATTTAATATATAAACATAAACTTAAAAAATCATCAAAGCAAAGTTAAAAATTTGAATTATCATGCTAAACAATGTTTAGAAAAAATAACCTTATTCTTGAATAACCTTGTATTTCAAACATAGAGCATTTTAGGAAAACAAATTAAAATTACATCAATTGAAAGAATTTTATAAACATTGCAAATATTGTAACAAATTTTATAAATATTGAAAATAATTGTATAGATATCATAAAGTTTAAGTACTTTTTTGCTAAATTATTTCAGGACGAATTTAACGGAGGCTCGAGTGCAAGTGTGGTTCAGTAACAGGCGAGCGAGGCTCCGCAAGCAGCTGAACAGTCAACAGCTGAGCGCTTTCAACACGATGAGCTTGCAATCGTTTCAAACTCAACATTACGGTAGCAGCGCCGAGAGTTATCAAAGTTACGGACAAGCATCGGTGGCTGCGGCGGCGGCAACCACCGCCGGTTATCCTCAACACTACAACTACAGCGAGAATTACTATGCCGCTCAACAACAATGGCCGAGACCGACCGCGGAGAACTATGGGTAAGTTGATCTAGCAATGGCTTCTGTTTGGTTCGGTTATCTGTAAGCGTTGACAGAGAAGAATTTAATCTTCAGTTGGATGTGTGGTTGTTAGAAGTGAGATATTAGTGATATTTGTAGATATGAAGAGATATTTGGGGGTATGGGGGATTTGGGGAGTTTAAGGTTTGTGGGAGTAGGGATTTTGGGATTTGGAGAGTTAGGGATTAGAGGGTTTTGTGATTTTAGGATTTGGGAACTTGGAAATTTTAGGATTTTGGTATTTGGGAATTTTGGAATTTGGTTAGGTTAGGTTAAGTCAGATTTTGATTAGATTTTGGGATTTTAGGATTTTGAGAAATTGGAAATTTTAGGATTTTGGAATTTGGTTAGGTTAGGTTAAGTCAGATTTTGATTAGATTTTGGGATTTCAGGATTTTGGGAAATTGGAAACTTTAGGATTTTGGTATTTGGGGATTTTGGAATTTGGTTAGGTTAGGTTAAGTCTGATTTTGATTAGATTTTGGGATTTCAGGATTTTGGGAAATTGGAAACTAGAATTTTGGTATTTGGGGATTTTGGAATTTTGCTGGGTTTGAGATTTGAAGATTTTGGAGTTTAATATTTCAGGATTTGGAGGTTTAGGGATTTTAGGATTCAAGAAATACAGCATTTGGGGATCTTAGGATTTGAGAATCTAGAAATTTGAGAGATTGATAATTACAGTTTCTGAAAATATGGAAATTTGAAAATCTAAAGATTTGTTAATGTTAGAATTTATAAACTTGTCAATTATGAAATCTGAAAACTAAAGTAAGAATTTTGGAAGTTGAAAATTTGGCAATCTGGAGATTTTGAAATATTGGAATCTTAAAATTTGGAAATTTAGCACGCTGGAAATGATAGATTTTTAAAATTTATAGAACTGCAAATTATAACTTACAAACTTAATATGTACAATTTAAACAAAATTGTAACATACATTTCAAACTAATAAAAATACACAATACAAGTTTACTTAAGGTTAATAATTGATCAATGATAAGGTTAGTAATTGGATACTTTTGAAATTGTAATATAAATTTTAAACTAGTGCATTATAAAATATAAATTTCTTCAAGATTAATATTTAGTTAATAATAAGGTTAATACTTGGGTACTTCAGAAATTGTAATATACATTTCAATCTAATTTGTTATAAAATATGAATTTATTTAAGATTAATAGTCAGTTAATGATAAGGTTAATAATTAGATACTTCAGAAACTGTAATATACATTATAAACCAATCCGATAGAAAATATAAGTGTACCTAAGCTTAATAATGAGTTAATAATAATTAATAACTGGATACTTCATAAATTGTAATATATATTTAAAACCAATCTGATAGAAAATATAAGTATACTTAAGATTAATAATGAGTTAATAATAATTGATAATTGGATACTTCATAAATTGTAAATATACATTTTAAACCAATCCAATATAAAATATGACTGTACTCAAGATTAACAATGAGTTAATAATAACTAATAAAACATGTATATGCATAAGAATAATAATCACTTAATAATTAATAATTACATACTTCATAAATAGTAACATACATTTTAAAACACAAATTTACTTAATATCAATAATTAGTAATAATTATATGCTTCAGAAACGTAATGTATCATAGAAAACAAATTGAAAGATCAGAAGGATCATCAGGGTCTGCAAGTTTCACGCGACTCCTGTGTACCCTTTTTTTCACCCGAGACTTTCATCGTTTGCGGTCTGCGTTGTAGCGAATTGGCCTCTGCACTCGGCTTATAACAGCACGCTGCAACAACCGAGCATTTCGCCAACCTGTTATTACGCCACAATGGCTGAATTAATTGTTCGAAACACCCTACGAGAGCCCATGCCTTCGTACCATCTCGTTCTTTCTCTCGACCACGAAACTCCCTATTTTCTTTTGCTCTCCGTGCTATACTTTCCCCACAGAGTTGCTTCACCTTCTTTAAACGTCCGGAATAATGTATCTCTACCCTCGGACAACGTGCACTTTGCTTCGACACTGCGCCTCGTGGGGGGTCCTTTACCGTCCAGAATTTTTATTCGGATTTTTGGTCCTGTTAGTTCAGTCTTTTATAATCAATATTGTCACTGTTTTATAACCAAAAATGTCACTGTTTTATAACCAATTATGTCAGTCTTCTATAACCTTCCATAACAATATTGTCAGTGTGTCATAACCAATAAAAAGCACTTTCTAAAAACGATTAAATGCAACTGTATTTACGAATGTTAAAATATGTAGTTATTATTATAAAATGTTATAGTACGATCACAAACCAGGCTGTTATGTAATTATATTATAAACAGTTAAAGCACTATCACAAACTACGCACAGATCTTGACACTCGTTGAGCGTGTACGCGCGTTCTGTAACCCGCCAAAACAATACACTTGTTTTGATACCAACCTAAATAAAGAAGCGTACGCATGAGTCAACTTGAAGAGAGATACTAACAGAATCATGTTTAGTTTATCGGTTTCTTTACAGATAGGAAGATGGCGTTCGTGTCTTCTCGCGACTCCCTTTACCTGTTGCAAAAATTCTCGATTATTTATATATTTAAATTGCGCGGAAGATTCAAATCCCTCATACAGTATTCTTGTAATTATTGCAAATTTGAACTCATATAAAGCAATATAAAATCTTATACAAAAATACTATGCATAAAATATATAAACATACAAAAATATATAAAAAAGTAAAAGTACAAATACTTTTGGTATTTACCAAAAGTATTATTTTTTAATTATTAATTATTATTAATTTACATTGATAAATTTCCAAAAAGCAACATTTTTGAGTTTAGAAATTTCTGAAAGATTTAAACCAACCAAACCAAATCTAACGTAACCCACCCTAGCATCTTACCTATCTAACTTGCCCAAACCTAACCAACCTAACCTTAACCTAACCCAAAAACGTAAAAACCACAAAAAAAGCTGCGTGAAATAAAAAATAAAATGCGACAAGAAAAACCGAAGAGAAGAAGTTGACAAAGAAATGACAAAGAAGAATAAGCAAAGAAAAAGACGAGGCGAAAGGACCAGCCGAGAGAAAGAGAAAATAAGAAAGAAGAGGACGAACGAATACGGTAAAGCAGCCGAGACCTCACCGACACGTTTTCTGTGTGGTCCTCAATTATGTTGCTTCTTCGGCCCCCGTAATGAAACGCTACCGGCTAATAATCCAACCTGGGTCTTGATCTTCGCCGATGATCCAGCTTTAACCGGGGACTGCTTTGGCCTTTCTTTCACCCCGGAAGAGTCTCGACCTCGAACTGCTTCGGTACCTCCAAGAATTCTTTCCAATCGGGACATTGCCGGGAATGTTTCTCATTTATTTTATCGGCTGTTGAAATGCATGAATATTATACCGTCGAACGATTCGACAGCTAATATTATAATATCGAGATGCCCCAACGTTTTATAGGCGTACACGTCCGGTAGTCTTCCTTTTGGCGGGAGATTCGAATCGATTTATCGGGAGTGAAGGTAGAATCGTGTTTGGATTGTTATTTCATTGTCGGATTAGGTTGGAATTGAAATTTTTGGGATTTGACGGAGCTGTGATAGGGAGTTTGGTAGTTTACTGTTTTGGAATTGGAATTTTTGGTATGCGGTTCTTCGTAAATTTGAAATATTGGAATTTTGAAAATTAAAAATTTAGGAAATTTACTAGTATGTAATTTGTAATCTAGGAAAATTGGAGCTTGGGAAACTTGAAAGTTGGAATTTGTGATTTAGGGAATTTAGAATTAGGGAAATTTGGAATTTGGTGAATTTAAAATTTAGGAAATTTGATAATTGGGGAACTTGTTATTTGGGGAATTTGATAATTGAGGAATTTTGTATTTGGGGAATTTGGTATTTAGGGAATTTGGAATTTGGGGAATTTGTTGTTTGGGGAATTTGTTATTTGGGGAATTTGGAAATTTGCTATTTGAGGAATTCGGAATTTAGGGAATTTTGTATTTGAGGAATTTGGTATTTGGGGAATTGGGTATTTGAGGAAATTGGAATTTGGGGAATTTGGTATTTGAGGAATTTGGTATTTGGGGAATTGGGTATTTGAGGAAATTGGAATTTGGGGAATTCGGAATTTGAGGAATTTGGTATTTGAAGAATTTGGTATTTGAGGAAATTGGAATTTAGGGAATTTCGTATTCGAGGAATTTGGTATTTGGGGAATTTGCTATTTGAGGAAATTGGAATTTAGAGAATTTTGTATTTGAGGAATTTGGTATTTGGGAAATTGGGTATTTGAGGAAATTGGAATTTGGGGAATTTGGTATTTGAGGAATTTGGTATTTGGGGAATTTGGTAATTGGAAAATATAGTATTTAGGGAATTTGGAATCCAGGGAATTTGTAATTTGGGGAATTTGAAATCTAAGGAATTTGCAATGTGGGGAATTCGAAATCTAGGGAATTTGCAATTTTGGGGAATTTGAAATCTAGGGAATTTGAAATTTTTGTTTTAAATATTAGTTATCAAATATATAATAAACATCCATATTTAGTTTTATCCATATTTAAATCCACTTTTAGTCCACATATTATTATTGTATACATATCTTACATGTAATTATTTCACTAACTTATACATCTTCATTTGAAACCTAACATAACTATCAATATATAAATTTTACATATCCCAAATCCCATTAAATTGCAAACACATCAACAAATCCAATAAATCACAATTAAAACAGCACCACAATAGCATTCTCGAGATGCATCACCTAGAACCATCATCCTAGGCAGGGCTGTATCAATATACAAACTAAAGGACGCTGTAACCGTGGCCCCAAAATTTACATTTTTCATTCATATATTAAATATTACATTATTATTAAATATTAAATATTGCAATATTTAGTGTTATAATGAATATTATATGACATTATAGTGGATATCAATTTTAAAGGCTTGTGTACTTTCTCGTCAAGTTTTATTATTTTAAAAATTATAGATAGTAAATTATAGTATATTAGTAGCATTATAATTAGTGCTGAATTATAGCACACGAGTTGCACTATAATTAATTATAAAATACACACACAAATTGCACTATAATTATTTATAAAATATAGCACATTAGTAGCACTGTAACTAATTATAAATTATACCACATTAATAGTACTATAATTGACAGTAAGTTATAGTACATTAGTATGTACTATAATTACTAGTGAACCATAGGATATTAGTAATGCTATAATTAATGATAAATTATAATACATTAGTACTAAAATTTCAATAAAATGATCGTTCATTGATAATACTATAACTCCAAGTAAATTATCTGTATTAGTAGTTACTAGTAAATTACCTATACTAAATCGCCTACTAAGTAAATTATTATATCCAAGTAAATTACAATTTATTACTAATATACAGTAAAAATTAATACAGTAATATATAAAATAAAAATTATACCACTATAATTATACATTAATAGTACTATAATTGATAGTAAGTTATAGTACATTAGTATGTACTATAATTACTAGCGAACCATAGGATATTAGTAATGCTATAATTAATGATAAATTATAATACATTATTAGTACTAAAATTTCAATAAAATGATCGTTCATTGATAATACTATAACTCCAAGTAAATTATCTGTATTAGTAGTTACTAGTAAATTACCTATACTAAATCGCCTACTAAGTAAATTATTATATCCAAGTAAATTACAATTTATTACCAATATACAGTAATATATAAAATAAAAATTAGCAGTAAACAACAAAAATTTACTACTATCCCTCACTCCGCAATTCAACCAAGTCCCCTAACCTTCGTAACCCCGGGCCCCGGAAAGTCTTACTCCGCTCCTGATCCGAGCATCCATTAGCTATACCCTCGAATGAAACTGTGCGAACCACCCAAACACAAACTGCGATTTCAGCGGCGCTCGATTAATAAATGGTCCATTCGTTCGGAGATTCGCGAGAATTCATTAACGCTTCCATAGAAACGGCTATGATTTGTAGTCGAGGCAAGATAGATTCGAGGACAGTCGATAAATCCCGAAGCTTCCGCCAGCGTTTCGTTATGTTATTCCTTTTTTGTTGGTCGTTCGACGGAATTAAGAACGAGAAGGAAAAAGGAGCGTAAGGTAACGAAATGGTTTCAGGATCGGCACGCTTTAGGGTCCTTAACCGTGCTGCTGCGAAATGGTCAAAAGGGCCGCTACTCCGTTTTGAAATCGGTTGTTGGCAGCCCTGACACGCCCTAAATGATACGTAAACGCGTATGCGCAGCTTTCCTGCGTGGTATCGGCTTGCAAACGAGCAGCCGAGCTTTGATTGCACGCTGAAACAAGAGAGAATCGGCCGGCGGTTACTTTGAGAACGCGGCATAAGGGGAAAGGGAATTTCATCGCGGAGGTTATGCGAGAGGCTAAAACTGCGCCGCGTTAATATTTCTGATACGGTCGCCGGCAGCTCGTGGAACGACGACCTGCTTTACATTCGGTGTAAAACTCGCATAAATTCGTGGCTTTCTACGCGAAGGTTTTTATCGGTGGACCGAACCGGGCTAGGCCTGTAAACGTTTGTGCGAATAATTTGAATAACTTTTAATGCGGGTTTTAGAGGAGGGTTTTGAATACTTTGAATAATTCGATATTTTTGTATGGAAAAATAGTTAAATGTTTCGGGATAAATTTGGGTAGTGGAATGTTAGGATACTTTGGAATATTTGAATAAATTAGTAGAATAGAGAGAGGTATACTGCAATTTTATTCCCCAAATAACAAATTCTTCAAATTCCGAATGCCCCAAATACCAAATTCCTGAAATACCAAATTCCGAATTGCCCAAATTCCAATTTCCTCAAATACCCAATTCCCCAAATACCAAATTCCTCAAATACAAAATTCCCTAAATTCCAATTTCCTGAAATACCAAATTCCCCAAATCCCAAATTCCTCAAATACCAAATTCTCCAAATACCAAATTCCTCAAATACAAAATTCCCTAAATTCCAATTTCCTGAAATACCAAATTCCCCAAATCCCAAATTCCTCAAATACCAAATTCTCCAAATACCAAATTCCTCAAATACAAAATTCCCTAAATTCCAATTTCCTGAAATACCAAATTCCCCAAATCCCAAATTCCTCAAATACCAAATTCTCCAAATACCAAATTCCTCAAATACAAAATTCCCTAAATTCCAATTTCCTGAAATACCAAATTCCCCAAATCCCAAATTCCTCAAATACCCAATTCCCCAAATACAAAATTCCAATTTCCTCAAATACCAAATTCCTCAAATTCCAAATTCCCCAAATACTAAATTCCCCAAATACCAAATTCCCCAATTACCAAATTTCCCAAATAACAAGTTTCCAAATTTTAAATTCCCCAAATACCAAATTTCCCTAATTCTCAATTCCCTAAATCACAAATTCCAAGTATATTGCAATACTTCAGATTTTAATACTTTGGATTATTTATTGTGATTTTTATTATAAAATTGAATTGTAATTTTTGTCATTATGTTTGTTATAATGTTCCATTAAAGTTTCTATGATACTATTCATTTTATTATTTCATTGCAAGTTTTATAATTATATACATTACAATATTTTATTAAAATTTTTATTGTCATATACATTATAATATTCATTATAATATTTATTACAATATTATATTACAATTCTTGTTATAATATTTATTAGAATATTTATTATAATTTTGGTATTACAATTTTCTATTATAATTTTCCCTTTTGCATTCATTATAATATTTAGTATAATTTTCCTTGTAATATTTATTATGATATTTATTATGTTAGTCTGTCAGAATATAATACAATACTTCTCAGAATATTAATTACTATATTTTACTATAAATTTCATTACAATGTTCACTATAATATTTCACCAAAATTTTCATTATAAATTTCACTGTAATATTTCATTATAGTCTTCATTATAATATTTCATCATAATTTTCATTATAAATTTCATTATAATTATTTTACCATAATTTTCATTATAATCTTCATTATAACATTTCACCATAATTTTCACTATAAATTTCATCATAAATATTTTACCATAATTTTCATTATAATCTTCATTACAACATTTCACCATAATTTTCACTATAAATTTCATCATAAATATTTTACCATAATTTTCATTATAATCTTCATTATAACATTTCATCATAACTTTCACTATATATTTCATTATAATTATTTTACCATAATTTTCATTATAATCTTCATTATAACATTTCATCATAATTTTCACTATAAATTTCATTATAATTATTTTACCATAATTTTCATTATAATCTTCATTGTATTATTTCATCATAATTTTCACTATAAATTTCATTATAAATATTTTACCATAATTTTCATTATAATCTTCATTATAACATTTCATCATAACTTTCACTATAAATTTCATTATAATTATTTTACCATAATTTTCATTATAATCTTCATTATAACATTTCATCATAACTTTCACTATAAATTTCATTATAATTATTTTACCATAATTTTCATTATAATCTTCATTATAATTTCATTAT